CACCCCCCCCCCCCCCCCCCCCGCCCCCGCCAGGCTTCCCGTTCATCGCGATCTCCACCTTCGTGCTGGTGACGGTGGTGGCGAAGGCTACGGGACAGGGGAACAACCACTACTCCAAGGCAGGAGGGGTGGCGAACGAGGTTATCGCGTCGATCAGGACGGTCGCCTCCCTCACGGCGGAGGAGAACGAGATGGACAGGTACTCCGGGCACCTCGACGGGGCGGAGAAGGCGGGCATCAAGGCCGGTGAGAAGCGCTGTATGGCGTGTGCTTGTCGGGTATCGAGGCCGGGGTGAGGTGCATGCGGTGTTGCATACCGTGTACGTAGCATTTCGGGGTGTTTGTCGGGTATCAAGGCAGGTGAGAAGTGCATGCCGTGGGACATACCGTGTACGCATATAGGAGTCCGACGTGTTTTTTCGGGTATCAAGACCAATACCGTGGTACGGACCATGGTACGTTTGGTGTACGTACGATACGTTTCGATGTTTTTGTCGGGTATCGAGGCCGGTGAGAAGTGAATATCATGGTGCATAACCGTGTACGTGGTATTCGATGTGTTTGTCGGGTATCGTGGCCAGTTACAAGTGCATGCCATGGTAGACTACCGTGTACACATGTATGGTGTAGCATTTCGATGTGTTTGTCGGGTATCAAGTACCTGGCACATACCACGGTACAAGCTGTGTGTGCGTGCATGGTATACGTTGTAAATATGTAGTATTCCGATGTTCTTGTCGTACATACGTCTATGAAAAGCGCGTATTGCCACGTAACGTGTCTCTGTCCGTCTCTCTCTCTCTCTCCCTATCTACGTGTTGTGTGTCCTCCGTTCCCACGAAATACAACGTGACGGTGTGCAACGGCGTGTAACGCAAGGCCTGAACAAGGGCGTCGGCACCGCGACGCTCTTCGCGAGCTTCTTCCTCGGCTACGCCCTTGCCTTCTGGTACGGTACAAAGCTCGTGGCGGACGACATCGAAAGCGATTGCGAAAGCGACTGCGCGACGGGGGTAAGGACGGACGGGTTGGCTTTCGAAACCTTGAGGCTTTTTTTTTTTGCTGTTGTCGTTGGAGCGAGCGGCGGATACATCGAGAGTGTTGGGCGTTTTTTTTTGCCGTTGAAACGGGGGATACACAGTAACTAGTGGCGTTTTTTCGTTGTCTTTGGAACGGGGGGCGAGGGGATGACGTCCATTGATGATACTGCACAACGCCTTATACAAGTTTTGACTATACAAGCAACCCTCTACACGCGCACGTATCTATGAACGACCTCCTCCTACTCCTACTCCTCCTACTCCTCCCCCTCCTCCCCCAACGAAACAGGGCCAAGTCATCACCACCATCTTCGGCGTCCTCATCGGGGCCATGTCCCTGGGACAGATGGCCCCGGGAGCTACGGCGCTTGGACAGGCCAAGCAGGCCGGGTACCGGGTGTTCGAGACCCTGGAGAGGGTGCCCCCGATCGACGCGGCCAGTCCCGAGGGGTCGAAGCCCGACAAGGTCGAAGGTCGCCTCGAGTTCAGGGAGGTATGTACGAGCGGGGACCCTGCGTTGCTGGTGTGACTTTTTTGTTCTCTTTTTTCGTCGCATCTGTTTGTTTTGTTTCACTCTGCTGTTTCTTTTGTTTAGAGAACAAAGGAGGATGTTACCATGGTTTTGCTGTATTTTCTCGTGTTGTTTCCGTAATATTTTTTTTCAGAAAACATTAGTAGCTACGGTGTTTGAACCTCACCCCCCCCAACAAAAAAAGCTTGCCTAAGCATACCTACTTCATGTTTCTCCACGACCTATTTTTTGTGTTTCGCTCCGCAAACGCAGGTCGGGTTCTCCTACCCCACCAGGCCGGACGACAAGGTACTGGACTCGGTGTCAATCAGCGTCTCCCCCGGGGAGTCGCTTGCCCTGGTCGGGCCCTCCGGCGGCGGGAAGTCTACCGTAACCAAGGCAAGCAAAATCAAGCTACCAGTAGACTCTAGGGAAATAAGCTCTTTCGCGAGGCGTGTGCGTGTTTCGTTTTGCTTTTCTTTTTTGTCAGCAATGCGGTCCGACTGCCGCAAGTCCACCGTCACCAAGGGAAACGGCAATAGTGCTGTGAGCGCTGATTTGAAGTGAAGACACAAAAAATAGAAAAAAAAGGCAACAGTCACCGGTAGACTTTAGGAAAGAAGACTCTCTCGCATGGGCGTGGTTTGTCTTTGTTATTGTTGTCTACCGCTCTACCCGGCTGGACAATGATTGGATGTCAGCGTCTGTGTGTGTGTTTTGCTGGCATCGACCGCGCTGGTCGGCTGATCACAATGAAGAGACGTCGTCTTACACTTGTGTGTGTTTGCGTCTTTGCCCTAATAGTTTCCCCCACGATGGTCGATTTTGTTCCTCCCTCCTGCCTGTCGAGTTGAACACCTTTCATTTTTCCCACGCTGAAATCGCGTGTTTTTCTCAGCGATGCTGGAGTGCGATACACGAGGCATGCTGCCCCGCGACGTCGTTAAGCAGTTACTCCTTTTTTTTTTCTCAACCGATCGTTCGCGAGTTGTCCTGAATAGTTCTTGTTGGTGTCCCCCACCCCGTTTGGATTACTTGCTCTGTTGTAGTGCCTGGACCACGCCCAAGCCCTCCGGCGCGATTTTCACGAGGAGCGGAGGCAGCAAGTATTTTCCATTTTTTTTTTCTGTTCATCTTTACTCCTCCCTCTCTCTCTGTTATCTCTCTCTCTCTCTCTCTCTCTCTCTCTCTCTCTCTCTCCCCCCCCCCCCTGAACTGAACCGAACCGACCCGAACCGAACCGAACCGAACAAAAATTAGCTCCTCCTTCGGTTCTACGACCCCACCTCGGGAAGCCTTTTCCTGGACGGGCACGACGTCAAGAGCCTGAACGTGCAGTACTACCGGGGGAAGATCGGATACGTCGGACAGGTGCTTGGGTTGTGTGCTCTAGTCTCTCTGCATGTGTGTGTGTGTGTTTTATTGTTTTTATTTGCATCGACCGCGCTAACCAACTAACTGGCTGACCAGAGAACCTTCGTCAGTCTCCGTGTGGCTGAAGTGCTTGTACAGGCCATGATCCGGGACCTCGGGAGTTGGCGCCATGGGCTTGTGTGTGTGTGTGTGTGTGTGTGCGTGTGTTTTTTTTTCCGTATGCCTTCCGAAAGAGCGTTTTCTCTCCGTCTCTTGTGCGCGTCATGTGCGTACAATAGTTGGTTGGTTGTGCGGAAACGGCATTCCCCAACGTTTGAGAGTCTTCAACAGGAACGGGTTCAGCAATACTGCTGTGGCTACTCTTATTTTTGTGTGACTCTTGCGTCACGTACTGTACGCAAAAAGTACATTTTCTACCAGCCGTCGATCCTTGCAGCTTGTGTGTCTCACTTCCCGTCTTCTTGTCGTGGGCATCGTGGGACAACCTTCGCGAGAAATGAAGTATTGAGGAAATAGATCAGGAAAGGGGCACGCAGACCCTGTTTGCCTTAACGAGAAATAAAGTATTGAGGAAATTGATAAGGGAGGGCCACACGCAGACCCTATTCGCCTTCGCGAGAAATGAAGTATTGAGGAAATAGATAAGGGGAGGGGGGCACGCAGACCCTATTCGCCTTCGCGAGAAATGAAGTATTGAGGAAATAGATAAGGGGGGGGGACACGCAGACCGTATTCCCTAACCCTGACCCTAATCCTAACCTTAACCCAACTTCCCCAAATGGAATGCTTTATCCAACATGTTTGCTTCATATTTGTACGAAAACGCTGCGAAGGCTACAGGCATCGCGTGCGTTTTCTTCTCTCACACCGCCGTGTCGTGTTTGGGCGTCGTGCACTTTTTTGTTGTTGTTTTTTTCCCGCAGGAACCCGTGCTGTTCGCCGGAACGATCCGCGACAACGTCGCTCACGGAAAGCCTGACGCTACCGACGAGGAGATCGTGACCGCTGCCAAGGCAGCCAACGCACACGACGTGAGCGAGCGAGCATGTTTCAAGAGAACGGGGGTGCTTCTGTGAAAAACATGCGCCCCCCCACACCCACGCGCAAAGCTGGTAGTGGTGGTTGGTGGCTACGTAGTGTCTGGATGCCTGAGTAAGTCAGCCGACGCACACGACGCGAGGAGCGAGCATGCTTTGTGGAAGAGAATAAGATCTATGCCACATGCCCCCCCCCCCCCCCCCATCCCCCCCGGGGTGTTGTTTGAAGGGAAAATCACTACAATTTCCCTTATATTGCACTTACCGGTCCACCCCAAAAAATTGTTTGGTTGATGTTTCCTGCAAGACACGGCGGGCCGTGCGGTAAACCAGGCCATCTCTTCTCTTCTCTGCTACTGCTGTGACAACCTCTGTCCCCACCGTCACCCCCGCCTGACTCCCAGACTTGTCCCCCTGCTGCAACCAACCTCGCGCTCGCTCACTCCGCTTCGTCGATGGGACGACGTGGTGGTGGTGGTGGCGATGCTGTGCGTGACGCGCGGGTATTGCGATTTCGGCGTTTTTTTGTTTTCTTTTTTTGTTCTTCAGTTTATCAAGAGCTTCCCGGACGCGTACGCGACTGACGTGGGGACCGGCGGCCTTCAGCTCTCGGGGGGACAGAAGCAGGTGACAGCTAGGCAGACAGGCAGACTAAATAATGCTGTAGCGACAACAGCAGTCGCGCTGCAGGTGTCGAACACGTGCTGTTTGCCACTTGTGCAAGGCACCACATGAAATGGGTCAGGAGAAGGTGATCAAAGCAGCATCAGCAGCAGCCGGTCGGCGTTTGTTGTTAGCAAAAGCACGGGCCGATAAGCTGCGGCTTGTGGCCGATTTCGCGAGGCGAAGAGAGAGACTAAACGACGGCATCAACCAACGCTCATCTCCACCCTGTTTCCTGCTGCTGCTGCTGCTGCTGCTGCTGGTGATGATGATGATGTCGTGCTTACGTTCGCACGTCGCGAACTGCTGTTGCTTTTCAGAGGATCGCCATCGCCCGAGCGATCATCAAGGACCCTGCTATTTTGCTCCTTGACGAGGCTACCTCCGCACTCGACAGCGAGAGCGAGAAAGTGAGCCGGATTCATACCTCTGTGGCTGTTTTTGTTGTCGTCGTCGTCGTTGTCGGGTTGTTTTTGTGCTGACGTGCGGTGTACGCCTCGTGTATATGAAGCTGTTGTCTCGGGCCGCCCTACCTTGTCAAAAGTAGTGCGGTACATCGATACATGGAGTGGTTGTCCCCCCCCCCCTTACCTGAGGTGTGTGGTTGCTAAGCGGGTAATTGGGCAACCGAGCAAATATAGCCCCCATCCAAAAGAGGAATAAACCGTACAATACCCTGCGTGACCCCCGCTGATGCATTCAGAAATCATGCCGACAGAAAAGGGCGTACAAAAAACTCACGTCTACTGTAGCAAAATAGATGGGACAGCGTACGTACACACTCAGGCCCACCAAGAGTGACGTTTTCTTTGGTGAGCCGGTTAACGGGGTCGATGCTCGTCAAGAAAACTCTCCCTCTCACACACACACACACCTTCCCTCTTCCGCTTTGCGATGCCCCGTTACAAAAAAATAACTAAATAAATAAATAATCCCCGAGCAGGTGGTTCAGCAGGCCCTTGACCGTCTGCACAAGATCCACAAGCACACCACGGTGGTGATCGCTCACCGACTGTCCACCATCCAGGATGCCGATCGCATTGCCGTCGTTGCGGAGCAGGGTATCGCAGAGCTCGGCACCCACTCGGAGCTGCTGGCTAAGAACGGCATCTACACTGCCCTCTGCACCATAGAGGTATTTTTTTTTTTGTGGTGTGATGGATTTTTTTCTTTCGCACGCCATATTTTTTCCCCACGGCCACCTCATGTCCGACACTGAAATGATCGCACCAACATGGACACCCCCCCCCCCCCGCCCGCTCCCTTCCACCTTTGGCAAAGTAGGAAGGAGCGGTTGGCCATCGGTGATCGGTCTTGTAGGAAGGAACAACGGTCGGACATCTCAGGCGTTCAAAACATGACCCCCCCCCCGTCCCATTACCGCAACACAACCAGGGGCCAGGAGCAGGCAACGGTTCCGCCGCCGCCGCCGCCGCCGGCGATAATGGGGCCGAAGGCGTCGTCGCCAGGACGGCGAGGCAGAAGTCGGCGTCGGTGGAGAGCGCCAAGATGCGGCGGCAGTCGAGCTCGGCCGTGATGCACAAGGGGCAGCAGCCCGGCGGGGAGGGTGGCGACGGCGCGGCCGAGGACAAGGCAAAGGGGGAAGACGACGAGGTGCGACATGATATATGTAAAGTAGCGCGGTTACTTTTTTTCTTCCCACGATGGTGGTGATTGGTTGGTTTGGATGTCTTCCCCTCATGCTCGCCCACCGTTGAACTTGCTGCATGCGCTGCTGCTGATGATGATGATGCTGAGCTTCTTCGGCGGATTTTTTTTTTCCACGGATGACGATGACCACCTCCACCGGGGGTCGAGAAGTATATTGTACATGGGGGGTCTTTTTTTTTCTTTTTTTTCCCGTGTTTGGCGGGTTATTTGGTCCCGAAACGAGTGATTCGCTAGATACCACCACCACGACAGTTGTTGGGGTCTTGAGAGTCTCAAAATCGGTGTCCTCAATAGCGGAGTGCCCTCGATAGCGGCACCGAAATCACTTGACACAACTGCATGTTCTCAGTTCAATCCCTATTTTGGAATAGCGGCACTGCCCTCTATAGCGAGCGGCACCTAAACCTCTTGTCACTGCCTACCGCTATTGAGGACCGCCGACTGTCTAGCCGTGTGTGGCGCGTTGTCTTTGTCCTGACGAGCAAGTCCCACCACGACACAGCAGTCACGAACGTGTTCTTGTTTTGTCGGGTAGGGGGGAGGATCACACAGAAAAGGAATCTGTTGTTATGCTTGCTGCGCCCCTTGCCTTGCTGAGGGGTCGTTCCGAGGGGTTGCCGAGAAGGTGCGAGCCATCGCATGTACACACCCTGGCGCCTAGGTCTTGCAGAGCGGCAGCTCCTTCGTCAAGCAATCAATCATCAACTTGACGTCCCCCGTCCCCTTCACTTGTTGGCACCCCCTTCCCCTTCTTGTTGGCACGACCGCCGTGTTGTACTACAGTATTGCATATCCTTCGACGTGCTTTCGCCGCGCCAGAAGCCACTATTATTATTACTATTCTCTCCGTGTTTTCTATGGTACCTTTGATGTTTTTGCGATTTTTCGACTACACATTGTTTTCGCGACTTTTTTGTTGTTGTTACTGTGTGTGTGTGCGCGGCCTTATCGCAGGCCAAGTACCCTCTCCCTCCGTCGTCGAGGATGTGGGCGCTCAACAAGCCCGAGGCGGGGTACCTCATCCTGGGACTCATCGGTGCCCTGGCGAGTGCTGCTGCTGCTGCTGCTGCTGCTGCTATCACTACTGTCGCTGCTGTCTCCCGTAGTACTTGGTAGTACGGTAGTGAGGCAGCAAGGAATTCCTGTTTTGACTCATCCGTGCCCTAGTGGGTGCTGCTGTCGCTGTCTCTGATAGTAGCATACTGTAGTGCAGTAAATAGCGAGGAACACATGTACCTGTGCTTGGTAACTCGTCGTTCCTGGCGCTGTCCCGCGGCAGGCACGCCCTAAGGATCGATCGTGCTTTTTTTTTGGAAATGATGCTTCGAAGTCGGCTTAGTTTAATTAGTGCAATGATGCTTCGAAGTCGGCTTAGTTTTGCTCTTGTCCAGATGGTTACCTTCACACGGTCCACACGTCTTGCGACGCCCCCCCCCACCCCTCGCCATGTGCACGACACGGATCGGCCAATCAGATGGCCGGAAGCCTGTTCCCCATCGAAGGCGTTCTTATCGCCAACATGCAGAACAACCTCTACGCCACCGATCCGGACAAGGTGAGAAATAGAAGTGTCCAGCAGTCGTCTCCTCTTGAGCCAGGACTCTTGGTTTTTCTTTTTAACAAAGAATAGTCCTTAAAGCGGGAGGACGTGAGAGTATTTTTCCCGGCCCGATGTTTTTGCATTTCGGCGGGACGCTATGTATGCGTCTGAAAACAACAGGAACCCTTACAAGAGGGTGGTCTCCTTAAAAGCAGGGACGACTGCTGTGCGGTTTTACAGTGACCATATACCGGGGAACTCGTCGCTCACGGGATGGGTTGTTGTATTCGGAATGCGGAGGGACTGCCGTTTACAACCAATAAGCCACACCCGGTCGAATCTAAACCGTAACCCGACCCAACGCAGTCCAGTCCAGCCATTGAAACCGCTCTCTCTCTCTCTCGTGACGAAGCGGCAAAATCATTTCCAATCGTGATGATAAACCGTAAATCGCGCTGTTACAAGATTAAGAAACAAAATTAATTAACCGTGATGATACGCAAACAAAAACAAGGTGCGGAGTGTCGGCGAGAAGTGGTCGCTCGGGTTCGTGGGTCTGGCGGCGGTGGCGATCGTGGGACACTGCGCCATGGCCTACGGGTTCTCCGTGGCGGGCGAGCGCCTGACGCGCCGCCTGCGGGAGATTGGGTTCAGGCGAGTGGGCCGGGTGTTGTTGTTGGGGTGGGAGTGGGGGTACCGGACAGGAGGTCGATGTTTCTTTTTTTTGTTTCTTCTTTCTCATGCCAAGACCACAAGAGCGCCTGATGCGCCGCCTGTGGGAGCCTGCGGGAGATGGGGTTCGAGTGTGTTGGGCAGTCGCCGTCGTTGTCGTCGTCGTTGTTCGTGTGGAGGGTGCTGAAACAGGAGGTCGATGTCTTCTCTTTTTTTTTATGCCAAGACCACGACGAGATTCACAATCAACTTTCTGCCCCTCCATTCTGCACTATTAGTAAGCCGTTCAGCTTATCTCTCTCTGAGCAAGACACCCAAAGATTGGAAACTCCAGCAAATTTACTCCCACTGACCTAATGATGATTATATTATTAACAGCTTCTCTGCCTCGCTTTATGTTTTTCTGGTTTGCAAATGCAATTTAAACAGGGCGATTCTCCGTCACGACATCGGGTGGTTCGACAAGGAGGAGAACGCGGTTGGCGCCCTCACTACCCAGCTAGAGGAAGACACCGCCAAGGTACTGCTGTACACCGGAAAGAGAAAAGAGCGGGACGCCGAGATGGAGATTACTTCAAAGCTCGTGCTGCCTTTTTTTTGTTCACGCTATTGTACTGCACCTTTTTTTTACAGTGTTGTTGTCGGTTGTTTTGTCTGTCGCCGGGTACATTAGGATGCAACACTCCCTGCTGTTTGCCAGGCTCCTGTTGAACAACTCTATCTGCTGTTGTACGTTTTTTTCGGCCCCTCAATGTCGCGGCCGCGGTCTCACGACATTGTGGCTACGTGAACGTGTGATACGCCCTGCTGTTCTTGTTTGGCGCGTGTTGCTTGTGTGCCTTCACATGTTGAAGTTGAGGCGTTTTTTTTTTTTTGTGGTAACCGACAGAGCAGCAGTAGCAGTTCGTTGGTACTTCTTTTCGAATTTGCTTCGTCGCCTCCTGTTGTTTACGAAGCATATGGCTGGCCTAGGGCAGGTTCAGTAACATCACATCCACCAACACGAGTATTTTTTCTCCAGCGCCCGTTAGCTGTCCGCTTTTTTTATCTCAACCAACAAAACCCCATCAATCCGACATAATCGTGGATGGTCTCTATTGTTGCTTGGCGGTGACTGTAACGGTCGAAACGCGCGTTTCTCTCTACAAATCCGTGGCTCGTGATTTTTCCGCACCCACCCTGCCTGTCACTCGGTGTTTGCCATCGGGATTGGGTTTTCGTCGCTTGGCAACGACGTTGTAAAACAAGCCAATTCACTTCGTGAACTCGACAACCAGGTTACCGTTTTTTTTTTTTTACCTCGGTTTTTTTTGGCGGTAACCATAATGGTGGTCGAGTAGATCATGTTGTGCGGGGTCGAGAACCCTCACTCCGCGCAACGGGGGATGATCGCACCACGTTGAGTTAAAATGGTCAAGCTTCCTCGAGGCAGTTACACAGTGCTTACAACTGTCTCTGGAAGTGAAAGCACCAGAAAATAAATTAAGTCATACGTAGCTGTCATCCGTACGCAAGGAAGTAAGCACAAGATGCCGAACACCCTTAGCAGGATGCAGCTCACCCTTCATGCGACTCGCCAAATACCTCACGGCGCTTCGCGCTTGGTGATGTGAGAGCCTGGTCCGGTGAGAACCCGGCGTGCTCCGTCCCGGCTTTGTAGGGATGCGAGGTCAATGGTCAAACGACTACGGCATGCACGACTATGAGTACACCCCCCCCCACCCTGCCTGTCTCTTGGTGCTTCGCTTCGCGGCGAGTGAAACTGTCGAAAGATGCGTCAACCGGCACTGACAAAACGCCTTCGTCCGCGCCATGCCTGTTGTCCGTGCGATCTGAGAAAGGTCCAATTCGCGACGGGGACTAACGTGGCGAACAAGACTCAGCTGGTCGTAACGCTCTTGCTCGGGGTCGTCATTGGTCTTGCCTCCGCTTGGCAGGTGTGTGTATGTGTTTTTTTATTATTATTAGCTTCAACCGCGCTAACCGGCTGACCAATGAAAAGACGTCAGTCTCAGCGCGGGTGAAAACCAACAACACTTCTAAAATGCCATTAACTGGGACCCCGTGCGGGGGCGCCTAGAGGGAGACTAGCCTATTCTCCGTGTGTGTGTGTGTGTGTGTGTGTGTGTGATTGTCTTCGCTTTCAAATCAGCGCTCACAGCATCTGTGCCGTTTACTCCACAGCCGTGGTCAACACGCGCCGTATATAGCCGCACACATACAGTATGACGAAAGCCTTAACACCGCCCAAACAACGTCAAACAACGACACCAACACCAACACTCCACCCGCCTTGGGACGAAATCAGATCGGTCTCCTGGCGCTGGCCCTGATTCCCTTGATGGCGACGGCGGCCATAGTCCAGATGCAGATGATGAACGGCAGCTACGGCGACACCAGCGAACTGGACGGGGGCGCGCAGGCTGGAGTCATCCTCGGGGGAGCCCTGAACGGCGTCACCACCGTGGCCGCCTTCAACATGCAGGACTCCACCTCTGCCAATTACGAGAAGGTGAGTAGGTGGGAAAAGGAGAGGCCGAACATAGTTACTACAAATGTCAAGTATGCTTACGCAGTTCGTGCAGATCGAACAGCCTTCGAAGCGGCCTTCGGCGTGCGGGACTTCCACCCCTTGGAGCTAACTACAAAATGGTGCGTGGTGTAGGTGTGAAAGGAGATGCACCCGGAGCCGCAGCAGCAGCAGCCGCAGCAGCCGCAGCAGCGGCAGCAGCTAGCCAGGCTCGTCGTTCCGAAAGGGCTTCAAGCACAGGCACCATGCTCGTTGCCCCTCTTGCCCTCCCCCTCCGTAATTGTCGAATACTGGTACATGTATCTGGCCTCGCTGACGTTTTTTTCGTTGGTGCCGCTCCTATACTACACTAGACATGTTTCCAACACAGACAACCCCCCCCCCCCCCCCCCAAATTTATTTTTTTTTCCCCATTGTTTTTGTACCAAGAGATGGGGACGACCCCCACCTACCAAACCTCCTTTTCCCGGAACATCTCCCTCCCCTCCACTGGTCAATGATCTA